GGAAATCTTGCCAAGGAATTTGCACAGTACTCAGTCACTGCCGCTTTATTCCTGTTGCTCTGTAAAACGTAGAAGATTGAATTGATGAATCATTCAACTGATTCTTGTTTCAAAGGCAACTCCTCTCAAAGCTAACCGATGAGTTTTAAAAAGTACTGCAGGTGACTTAATCAGTCTGGTTGAACACAAGTGCATGAGGAAGCATAGATAGCAGGAACCCTTTTTTTCTATTGTGGATGGATTAGTCTACCACAAATTAAGATGACCACAAGTACCTAGTTATAAATCAGTAAATCATTCATCCCTTGAGGTTGCTCCAAATTCTTGAGCTTCATTGGGCATTTTTCTAAGCCAATACAATTTCCAAAAGATTGTGCTCATAATATATCTAAGGCCTAACAAACATTTTCTCTAAAATCAAAATCAGGTTGCATTCAATGTGGATCTTGATGCAGTCCAAGATGCCAACAGTCCATTCCCATCATCTATTTCAAAATCTCTCAAAGGGATGCAAGATTGTTTTCGGATGCCGTTTTGGAGGATATCTGTAACAACATTTCCTTATCAAAGGAGTGTGATCAAAGCAGGCAAATTCATCCGTGATTTTGGAAGGAAGGTCATTCTTGAACGTCAAGAAGCTATTTTACGAGGAGAAGATACACCACCTGATATCCTTGCACATATCTTGAGTGTCAAAGCAAAAGAACCAAGTATTACAATTGAAGATATGATTGATGAGTTTTTCACATTTTTTGTGGCAGGTGGGTGAATAGCTGCCTTAATTATCCACTGGTACACCTTATAAGTTTGCATATTCCTTCAAATGTTTTTTTTACATTTCATATGGTTGTAACTAAGAGAATTAGCAAGAGGTCTTTAAATTAATGACCATCTCCTAAAGTCCTAAGACCTAAACATTTGATTCAGTGGGGATACTGTCCAATGATTTAAATGCTACACATTCCTTGGGATTAAAGGGTGTAACTAGAAAAATTATGTGGATCCAACGGGAATAAAGAGCGCATCTAAACATAACAAGTTAAATTCTGTACTTGAGTCAAGAAGTCCATCTGGTTGGAGCTTATCCCAGTTTCCCTTGAATGATGCAACTAGGAGCATGACTTCTCCCCCCTGGATGGGATGGTAATCCATGGCAAGGTTACTTCAGCATTTCATCAGGCTTCCCTAACAATTTGCCGTTACCCATTTATACTCCTGGGTGGAGAGAGGTATTGAAAGAGTGAAGTATTTTGCCCAAGAACTCAACCTGACCCACAGTCCAGCGCACTAACCATCAGTCCACCACATTTTCCTTGCCTTAAAGATAATAAACTGTAATTAGAGAATATTAAGTTGAAGTGCAATGGCCTCATGGTTAGTGCATTTGACTCCGGATCGGGTGGTCCGGGTTCGAGCCCTGGCCGGGGTCATTGTGTTGTGTTCTTATGCAAAACACTTTACTCTCACAGTGCTTCTCTTCACCCAGGTGTACAAATGGGTACCAGCAAAATGTGCTGGGGGTAACCCTGTGATGGACTAGCATCCCATCCAGTAGTAGGGGGAGTAGCAATACTCCTAGCCACTTCATGCTAAGAAAACCGAAGTTAAGCACCGGCCTCATGGGCCACTTGGGTTCGTATCAAGGTTTTACTTTTTAGAGTTTATTAAGACATAAACAAAATTTGAAAATACAGAAATTCCTATTGGCTGTTTGTGTTTACTGGTAGCATCACATAAAACTTTCCACATTCTGGAAGCACTTTCAGGAAAGCTCCCATGGCCACATAGCTCTGCAAGTAATAGAATAGATCCTCTTAGAAATGCATAGACCTACATTGATACTCAACTGCACAACAGTACAAATCATTCATGGACAGTGTGTATATATTTTTTTAATAAGTGATAATGTCTCAATGATAGGTCAGGAAACTACATCCAACCAGCTGTCATTTACTCTCCATGAGCTACTGAGGCATCCTGATATTGAGGAGAGGTATGAAATAGTAAGTTACAACTGTAAGTTTTGCATCATCAGTGTGTGATCTGTTACATAGACTTTCTGACAGAGGTACTTTTGAGGTACGTAAGGTACAATTAACACAAGATAAATAAGTTATATGTAGCAAACTGGCTGGTGTGGACCATAAACTAACCCTTAAAACCTGTTTTTAAGTATACTTACAATAAGTCACTTCTTTTATTATACACAGTGCAGGGTGCATTTCACTACTGTTACCATTCTAGAAAAGAGAGGCAAAAATTACAAAACCATTTGAAGTGGCATATTTAACAACTATTCATGGAAGTGGGATTGAATAGTTGTTTCAGTATTTACTTAAGCAGTGAGATAATATAGCACAAAAAGATGAGTTGAATTCATTTATTCCTGCAAAAATTACAATATTTTTTGGGCACAAATCTGGCATAGGTTGTGCAAAGGATTTTTGGAGGTAGAGTAGACAATCAACACAATACACTGTTTTAGTATATTCTAGTAGCAAAGATCTAAAACACATTACTGAATATTTAGTGATTGTTCCCCTTAAAATAAAGCATATAGTCAATTTTATTTTTATCATTTGCAGAGTAAATCAAGAGATTAGAGCTGTCCTTGGTTCACGTCAGTTTGTTGAATATAAAGATCTTGGAAACCTCCAGTTCTTAAGTCAGACACTCAAAGAAGGATTACGACTCCATCCCCCTGCTGGGGGAACAAATCGAACAACCGCAAAAGATGAAGACATTGGTGGCTACATCTTCCCTGCTGGCACAACAATAAACATGAGTAATTTTGTAATGCACCACCACCCAGACTCATGGAAAGACCCATATAAATTTAATCCTGACAGATTTTCACCCGAGACCAAAGATGCAATTCCACAGTCTGTGTACTTCCCTTTCTCATTTGGCCCACGCACTTGTATTGGACAAACCTTTGCACAGTTTGAGGCCCGAGTGCTTATGGCGAGACTTCTACAGCAGTTTGAGTTGAGTCTCTGTCCTGGACAAGATGAGATAAAATATGAGGAGAATTTGACACTGAGGCCCAAAGGGGGTTTGCTTTGTACACTCAAACGGAGAAACGAAAACTAAACTAAAAGGGAGCTAAAGAAATCCCAAGTGTTTTTACATAAAGGAGCAACATGAACATATGATAAAACAGAGATAGAAAAAATTTTTTAAACCTGGGAAGTGGGGTGGGGTAGGTAAGGACATAGAAATCAGGGTCATTATTAACCCTTTAATTCCCATGAGTGACCAAAACAGAATTTCTCCTGACAATATCAATACAATATCATGCAGACAAGTGATGAGAATAAAGAAAAATATTAATTAGGGGATTATTAGTTGATCCAATACCAAATTCTCTAAGTTAACATCACAAGAACTATTTGGCAGACAGTAAGGAAAATTACTTATGAGATCTTGGGAGTTAAAGGGTTGTGGTGGGGTTGAATGTGCACTGCTTCATTTACAAAGTCAAATTAACTTTTATTATATTTCTCCAAGTGTTTTCTCCAGCATTTTCTACTTTCAATGAAGAGAAAGTTATTTTGTTGATGTTTCTTTTTTCTACTGTTTACTTAATTAAGTAGTGTTTTTATTCTACAGGTTTTTCTTTTTTATTTTTTTTACTCAGCTATGATAGTCTATCAGCCATAATGGTGTTCTGCCTTCAAGAATTAATGCTTAATGAAAACAATGAAAAACTCCCTAGTTTTGGCCCCCTAGTTTTGGCTCCCTAGTTTTGCACACAAGTTTTACTCTCTCAAATGATCTGCCTAGAAGAAAGAATTATTATTAGTTCTCTAGCCTTATCACAATTATTGTATCTTTAAAGAAGTTTGCTTGACCATAACTGTTCACTCCAATAAAATTATTTTTCAAACCTTCCCTAGTCCTGTGCTGTCAACACTCACCCACCCTCTACCCCAGGGGACTTTGATTTGATTGTAGCAGGAGGTAATTCTGAGTAATAATCATGCACCACAGCTGGTCGTGAAAATCAGCTAAAAAAAAAGCCTTCTGAACAGGATGTTAGCCCGTCACGGTTAACCCTTAAAACTCCCAGAAGTATGCAATGGTCTCAAAAGTTTCTAGAATCGCGAGGATGCTACAAGGGCAGGTCTATGGGAGGGGTGGAGCCGTGTTGCTGGTAAGATGCGCAGCTACTCGAACGTTTTCTCTCTTGGATTTTTTTTTTGACTACAAATCTAGGAGCACGCCATAAATATTCTTGTGTATCATAGAAGCCATTACAACCATCATAAAATGATTGACTGCTTCCAGAACCGCAGTCGTATCATCTGCAGTACTCAATCCGCTAACATTCGCCACAGATATTGTTTCCTTCCTTGAATCAAACTTCCCCGCAGAACCGAATTGAAGGGAAGTACTAACGGCGACAACCACGGGCCTAAAAAAACAAGATAACCAAACGTAATCCGCATAGGATGAATCATGCGGAGAACAATGTATCCGGCCGTGAATTTAACAAACCATCCTGTTCTCGTCGAAATCCGGGTAATTTTCCAGCAAAGGCACGACAGCAGTCGAGCAGATACAACACTGAAAGACTTTTGGCCACGAGCTCATCGCATTCCTACGGATTAAAATCCTAAAATAAATGACAACACAGCTTCATGATGTACAACAAACAGAAAATAAATCCACACGCATCCTGGTTGCGTATTCAACTCCAAATTCTTTATCTGTTCGTATTGCACGTTGTCGATCCTTCTGAAGTCAAAGGGAGCTTTTCTGTTTCTATAAACCCCTATTTAATCTCACATTTTCTACAAGCTGACCTGAAATTTCCCAGAATTATTCGAAGCGTAAGATTTCGACAAACAATTTTTATCTCTCTTGAGAGAATCCCTTCTTTGACGTCAAAGGATGTTTGGACAGGAGGTTGCAACGGTTTATAAATCTAAATCTTCCGACCTCTCAAGCAGAGGTCGGAGCTTATTCTCGCTTTCGAAATCACGCTCAGTTACGTATATCTATTTTAATATAATCGAAGAGTTAGCTGTGGCGCATAATTTGCGTAAAGAAACATGCCATCGACGACGGCGGTTACCCTGAACTCTTTCATACGAATCGTTGTTTTAATGTTTTGCCTAGCTAGTCACCACTTTGTTCCGATACAAAGTACATTACGTGCGGATGGCGTTGAAAAGTATATTATTACCAGGAGCGAGAGGACTGACAACGACGTATTCAAGATTATTTACAAAACTGGCTTCAAGTGCCCACAAGACGTTTGTAAAAACTCCTCTGCTTGGGTGAACAACACCGCACAGTGCACCTGTTCATGTAAGGCCGACACTGCTACCTTCCTCCCACTAATAGGAAGTTGTGGTGATACAGCAAGTATAAAAACATCTCTGTTTGGAAGTAAGTAAAAATGATTTGAAGAAATGAATGAAGAAAGCGAGTGTTCAAGTGTTCAAAGGGCAGATAGCGCTATCCAATGGATACGTGTAACAAAACATACTGCGCTAAACACTGGAAGGCAGATTTATTCAGTGAATACCGTTTTTTCCTTCGAACAACCGGGGCTAGAAGAATAAACTAGTGATAATCATAGATTATTGAAGTGCGTTCAATTAATTCTTATATTCGTCATTAAGAGTGTTTCTGCAACGTGAATGTTCGTTTCCAGGCCGTGATCTTGGAGGAGCAATTAAGCAATATAAAGGAAAAAACAGTGGCATCTCTTTACTTCAGTTATGAAAGCGACAGTCGCCCCACCATCCACCCCAACGTGACTATTTGCATTCTGAAAAAAAAAATTCTACCAGTGTCACTCCCCACGGGGAGGATTTGTCTTTCCGTTAGTTTTGCCGATGGGTTAAATTTACCGCTCGTATGATGAACGGAAATTTTGAAAAATTCCAAGTGTATTTTATAGCTGTTTCCGCCATTGTCCCAAAGTGACCATATATGGTCATTTTTATTGATTTAACAAAGCTTATTGTAATCAAAGTTGATCTGCGCTTTTCTTGATACGCTAACAATTGAAATGCGGAGGCATTGTTAAATCGGTAACTTTTAAACTTTCACCGGCCACATCATTGCATCAGTTTGGCTGAATTTTAGCATGAGGTCTTGTTCTAGGGTCCAAATCACGAAATGGATATAAAAAAGTCCCAGTTATTTTTGCTTGGCAAAAAAAAGAAACGGGAAAGTGCACTTGATTGCGCCCAATATGGCGCATCGAGGGTGATCTTTTGAATTTAGTCAAGTCCTATCGTAAAGATTTCTCAAAATCTCGTAATATCAATAAAATAATCTTCTCTTCTTCTTCTTCTTAACATTTATTTAAAAAAACATAGGCCAAATATCTGGTTTAACAACATATGATCCTAACGTTCTAAGGTCGCTTCAGGCCGCCTTGAAGAGTGGAAAATTTTACCCCAACCTAGTAACCTAATGTCTCCTGTGTTGCCTCGATTCAGAACTTACCATTTTACTGAGAACAACGTTTGTTCATAGATGAACAGATTTCATAAATGAAAAAATGGGGGAAATGAAATGGTCAAGGGAAAAAAAATTATCAACCTCGTACCTGTGGCCTAACCCTAACCCTAGCACTCGTTTTTTGAAATAGTACTTCTCTTGGGTGTCACCGTCACGACTGCGTGGGAGGCCAACTTAAAGATTCTCTCTGCCAACATGCTTACCTTATTAATTAAAGATTACTGAAATTGCAAAGTCTTGATCATACTGAATTAATTTAAACCTCTGGTTACTTTGTAGATTGCTTAGAAGCGCTTGGTTTGGAAAGTAGGAAAATCAGTAATTCCCAACTACGTGGGTCAGATAGTTTTGCAGGTTTTGTTCCTTCGGAGGGAAGACTGAATAATGATAAGGCCTGGTGCTCCAGAAGGAGTCAGCAATTTTTTGAGATCGACTTATTGGAGGTCAGGCATGTCTCAGCCCTTGCAACTCAAGGATACCGAGGAGTGTCTAGTAACTATGTCAAAACATATGAGATGGCGTACAGTTATGATGGTGTAACATGGTCTGACTACCAAGATGAAAATGGTCGCAAAAAGGTAATACATATTTAACATGTGAATATCCATTCTTGCATAAGCAGTACATGACGAGATGATCATTAATGCCTTTGCCTCGTAAAGGGTGTCTAAAAACGTCATCCTGTTTTAAGGGCTTACAAAATATTTCATTTACTTTAGACAACCTTCAAAATTGACAAACACAATTTGCCATGAATATGAAAGTGATCCTCGCAGTAATGATTGCCATGATGGATTTCCTTGTATATTAATTTGAAATTTTCGAAAATTATAATTATTATTATCTTCTCCTCTTTGGTTTTTGTCGTTTCGATATATTGCAAATTTCCTGTACTGCGGGGACTGCTGTTGATAACTATTTTCTTGAAAGTTATAACGACAATATTAAAACTGGATTATACTTTCACATCCGCGTGATATCGTTATCCAATAGAAAAAAAGAGAAACAGACACGTCAATGCAAGGCTCAAATTATTAGTTTCAATGTTCTCCACGGGACGGAAGTTGACTCTTTGTTCACAAACATTAACTGAACTGTCTTTCTTATTACTTTTCACTTAAAGATGATATCGTGAGGATATCAAAACATTTAGGCTCTTAAATGTTCAAACAAATGTTCACTTTCAGACATTTACTGGAAATAGTGACACAGACACTGTAAAATACACCTACTTCAGGGGGACATTTGAAACAAGATTCCTCAGAATATATCCTAAAGACTATAACACACCAGGGCATAGGTGTCTCAGATTTGAAGTATACGGGTGCAGTGACAATACTGGTGAGTAATTTCATTGGATGCTTGCTTTAACTATTAATGAACCATACATGGAAAATTAGTGAATGTAGGTAAGAGGTTTAAATTGCTCTATGTTTCCATAAGCAGACGCTGAATCCAGCAGGGCTACGTCAATCCAATGATCTATTTATCGCAAGACTATTCGAGCCAAAAAAAAAGTAATACATACTTCTATTGAGAAACTGGACGGACGATCAATATATATGGAGTGCGAGCTAAAAAACTGGAATTAAAGCTCTGTATACTCACTTCTTTACTTACTTAATTACTTACTACCCATCATGCCTGTGTGGCACATAGGGCAGCAACGAAATCCTTCCAACCCTGTCTATCTTTAGCCAGTTTTTTAATGGTGCTCCAGCTGTAATTGAGCCCCCTTAGTCTCTTCTCTACTGTCCTGCGCCAAGTTGTTTTTCGGGCGCCCTTTGCTTCGTTTGCCTTCAGGTGTCCAGTGCATTGCAATTCTGGCTATGTTGTTACTGGCCTTCCGCATCACATGACCGATCCACCTCCATCTTCTCCTGTTGACAAGTGTACGAATATCCTCTTGCTTGGTTTGCCTCTGTAGCTGGTCGTTTGATACTTTCTGAGGCCAGAAAATTCTCAGAATCTTCCTGAGGTTAGCTGTGTGGAAGGATGTTAGTTTTGAGAGGTCCTGTTCTGTCATTCGCCAGCATTCCGAGCCGTAAAGGAGAGTTGACAATACGCAGCTCTGATAGATTCTAAGCTTCGTCTTTGTGCATAAAGACTCACTTCTTTGACGATATTCAATTATATTGTTATACAACAATATAGAACAAACAGGTTACGGAAGAACAGAAAACCGGCCAATGAATTACAATGGAAGTAGTTTTCTTGATTACTCATTTCCAGAAGTGGACAGCTCAATTCGACACTGCCCCCTCAGAACCTAACACAAACTCTAATGGTGATTTTGTAGTAAGAGCTACTTTTTCCGCAAAGTGATTGATCAAAATATTTTGGGTTGCATTTTTGGCAGTTTGCTCCCGTTTCTTCGAGTGGCCCTTTTTCCTGAAATCTCTTGACCTGTCAAATGAAGGAGGGGTGGAAATTGGGTCAGATGTCAACTATCAAGCCTGTCAAGTTGTTCCCGGAAGAACAGCATATCTTGATTATCAACTGGAAAACAAGTGGGCGCGGGTATATCCAGAAATCTTTAAAGTGGAAAGAGTACAAGGAAAACTTGTTTTCAAGGTTTTGTATCCATGTTTTTTAGAGGGATAAAAGCATGCAGGTCAGGAGCTCAGAAATATTTATTTATTACCAGCAGCCTCCAATCCAACCTGACCCTAGCCTGATAGCTCTTAGCCCACTTCTCATATTCACATGTAAAAAACTGCTGAAGGGTTCAAATTTGCATCAGACCCTATGGGCCAGTACGTCAATTTTGAAACTAAGTTAATGTGCATGAGGTCTCCCGAGAGTCTTTAAAGACTTGGAAGATGTCTGCGATCTTTTCGAAGCTAAAAATGGTTCTTAATTGCTGGATTGGATTTTTTTTCTAAGAAAAGCATTGGAACAATGTTTTCTTGGATCAACTGGTGAATTTCAATTTTTGGCATAACCTTTGACTTCTGGTGTTATTTTCACAGCTTGTGTTAATAAATTTGTTTCTTACTCATTTTTCTTTAAATCCTGAAGTGGGTGAATAATGGTACTGACAAGAACCTGTCAGGAAGAATTGTTCGGGTAGTGATCAATTGTAGTTATTCAGCATCTGCATCTCGACCACCCAAGACTGCTTGCCTGATTTTCAAGTCCTCAGGGCAGATCACTTGTGAGTTATAGTTTCCTTTAAATTTAAATAATTTTTAGCCTCAGTAACCTCACAAAAGTATAAACAGTGCTTTTTAGAGTTACAACCAGCCAGCCTTTTTACCAACTAACGCTATGTTTCTGAAACATTATAAGTCAACTTCGATAATACAAAGCGGTAAAATTCCTGTTGTGATATGGAATAGTTTCAAAGCTTAACTTTTTTTTTATACATGCCTCAAAAGATTGATTAAACCTTAAAAAAAAAAAAAAAAAAAAGGATCAAAAAGAAAAAAAAACTGCAGGAAACGCTGACAGAATAGACGCCTGTGTCCGTTAGGCATTCACTTGTTTCCTGCTGGCTATTATTTGGTAGCTGGTGCACGGAGTAAAACCGGGTGACATGGTTACTAAGTGCATCTTCAAAGTTCTCAGTGTTTTGGAGTGGTGATTGTTTCAAGGGGTGATAATCTTAGACTTCCAACGAATAGTTGTGCAGGGGATTGAACAATACAAAGGTTTAGCTATTTTGTGGTAGTACTCTCGAATACAAAAACCTCAGCAGGTAGTCAAACAACACTTTTCCAAGGGAGGATAGATTAGATTCAAGGGACAAGGGTATCTCACTCGTAAAGGGAAGTGGCGATGTTAGCTTAGAGAAATGGGGATAATCTCCTCTGTGTGGGCCAGTCAATTCAAAGCACGAATCAATTGAGCAGGTATGCAAAAAATGGTATGAAAATTCGATATTTGTGAGCCATCATTGGTAAATGTGTACTGCATACTGGTTTTTCAGACGTTACTGATGGTTTGAATGACAAGTCACTGACGAAGCCAGGTTTTGTGGCAAAGACAACACCACATATTTCTCCAATCACCAAGGTGTGTGCCAAATGGCCTCTCATTGTCAATAGACAGTGATGATGGCAGGTTTAAACTTGTTCCTCTTTTGGAAGAGGTTAATTATTTTTGTGGGTTAAAGTTATAGGCAAGATAAGGTTATTAAAAGATTGGGTTGATTCCTAGTTGTCGTCGTTTTTAGGATTTTTGGTTAATCTTGAGAGAGGTAAAATACCTGTAAATTATTGAATCTAGAAATCTCAGATGTGCCAATTGCATTTATCTAGGGCAATCTCTATACCGAAGCATGAAACAATAGATATTATCGAAGGACTTTGAATGTTTTATAATCGCCTAAATTCCGTCGTGAAAACAAAAGACTTAATGGCTTGGTCTGTTTTAGGGTAGTCCATTGGACTGGGGGTCAGTGTTTTCTCCATCGCCATTTGTAAGTGCTCCCCTTAGCTTCGAAATTCATATTTGGAGCGTCTTTCTCGCGAAGTTGTGTCTGTATTTCAAAAGCAGCTGTGCTTATAACTGTTGGTTATAATAAAAATGAATATCATATTGATGAGGCTTGAACTCATTGATTATCATTATAATTTCTTGCAGACAACTTCAGTGACAGAATATATCAACGACACAGGCAAAAATTACGCAGGAAAAAATGGAAATTACAGTGGATCTGTTGTCGTGATTGGCATTGCAGTGGGATGTGCACTTGCGTTTGGAATCTTAATCATCGTCCTTGTTGTATTTTGCAAGCGAAGGAAATTGTAAGTTCAATATATTTTTTTCAAGTCTTGACTCATTTTCTCTTTGAATACATGTGTGTCGCCAGTTTCAAATTCAGTTCTAATATAATTTGCTTTTCACTCACTCGCAGCTTGTAAAGTACCATTACAAAAAACAGAAATAAAAACTTTGGTCTTACAAGTAAACTGTGTTTTCTGAGTATAATCTGTTCAGCAAATCAGTAGATTCCATGTTGTCGTTCATCAGATTAGTTAGATCACAGATGACGTCAAGATATGGTCAGAACGAAAAATGTGTGTATAATTCATCTTATATCATAGAAACTAAATTTCCTCACACAGGGAAAACAACCAGCAAGAAACAAAGTCAGCAGGTAAATTTTGTTTTCATCAGCAATTGATTGCAAAAGTTAACTACGAATGAGCCTCAAACTGCAAGATACACACGTAAAAGACTTATGGGATTGGAAAGGTACATTATCGAGCCATTAAGCATTGCAATCAATGCCTATGTTTAAGAGCCGAACTTGCAGATAAAATCCACAAGAAGCATATAGGGATGCATGGATGTTGAGAGAATATCATATTGAATACTTGGACAGAAAAGTGTTGATTGAATGTTATAACAAGATTTGATGGACAGGCATGGCAAAGCAAATATGGAGTTTTAAAAGGTAAAAATTGAATTGTTACAACAAAGGCAAGGCTTAGCAAAAGTGTCTCAGGTTCTAAGGATTGATTGGAGAGTTTAAGATATGTGAGTGTGTGGCATCAATATGGATTTCAAATGCACTACTAAAAAGGTTGCTATTGCTGTTTTTACACTCAGGTCGGCCAAAGATTGCACCTTGTTACTACTGTTATTAACTATAAAAAGGATCATGTTAAAGATGATCGGTACCTTAGTTTCACAATAGTAAGACCCTAGAACCCAAAATGAGTGTCCTCTAAAACTATCATAAGATTGAAATAGATTTTGATGAATGAAATAGCTGTTTTAATTGATTTTTTAAAATGAATTTTTATCCTAGTTAGGAACCCAGTGGTTGAGAATCAAAAGGACAGAGAAATGGAAGATGTCTCAACCTCCAGTGAACAAGCCGGTCAATCAACGTACCAAAGTCTTGTTACCAATAGTGGTAAGTTAGTAAGGAATAACTGTTACTCATTGTTTTTGGGTGGTGTTCACTCACACACATTTAGTAATCACAACGAGATTACAGAACACCTGTTATTTGGGAAGGGATCGCTCTTTGAGTGACTTTTAACTGGAAACCGAAAACTACCATTTATACTTGCCTTAAGACAATTTATACACCAAACTTTACTCTCAACCTCAAGATGGTAAACAGATGTACTGTGCGTCTTCCTTTTATGGTGAAATGCTTGGTGGTTTTAACAAATTTTTGTCGTCTGTGATCTACTACTGAACAGAAGCACGATATGAAATCTACCTTTTAACATATATAATTAAATATTTCTGGAAGAAACATGAAATATATACGGAGAATTTTCGAACTTCAACTCCTCCAGAAACGTTGTGAGCAATTAAAAGAGGCAAAACTTAATGTCTTAATGCAGAATGCCTTGAATAATGGCAGAAAAAAAGGACATTCTGTATGGCTTCAGTATACCAGATTAGTACCAACTTTAAAACTTACCAAGAGACAGTCATTGAATTGCCATGATCATTTTTCTAGGAAAACTTTTACATTTAGTTATTTTTTCCACATCCACTTCAGGACAAAGTAGTGGTGGAGCTGTGCACAGTCCCCCTGGAGATTACTATGGTTACTCTTCTCTGTACCAAAGTATGGACAAGTACACACCAGTTGCAGCTCCGGTTTACCAAAATGGGCAGACATCATTTACAGAACCAGATTATCAAAATGTACAGACCCGGGAGGGTGGCATACCATATGCTTCAGTGCACAGCCTTGGGTCTCAAACAGAATCTGCGTATGAGCCCCTAAGGGGGTCTGATATGCAAAATGTGTACGAGTCCCTTAACGAAGAAGGCAACTGAATTGTACTGACAGCATGAGCCTTACATGAAGACATAAAAGCTATCGTCGGTCTAAGGTTAATATAAATCAAGTGCTATTTGGAGTCTAGAAATTAACAATGAAAAAGCCAACACTGACTTCCTGTTCCGCTTTTCAGGAGTTTTGATGAGAAAAATTATTAGTATAAAATTGTTGTAAAATTATCATTTCAAGATGTTGAGAATTTTTTATACGAAAGTGGTCTGAAACATGCAGTGTCGAGGTTAGCAGGGAATTTTCCTTTCATTTAGAAGTCAAGACATGTTTTTTGTGCCGTTCGTTAACTTAAAACGCGCACTCCGTCAGCAAAAAGCCCAACACGAAATTGTCACTAGAGCATTTCTTCTGGGTTTAGTTCCCTAGGTTTGCTGACCCTCGAAAAAATTGAGCAAACTATTTGCACTGAGTATATTTGATCAATAATCTTGTTTTAAATTAAGTTGCTCTATTGGCGAAGGTTGAAAACATCAGCAAGCTACATATTTGTATTGTTTCGACTGTCATGTAGTATATCCGTTTCTTTACTTTTAGAAATTTCCTTGATTCATATCTTGTGTTTAAACAGTATTTTCCTGGTACAATTACGTAGTTTTTTGTCACTGTTAATAAGTCTTTGCCTCATTAAATAATATTTTCCAGTAAACAACCTAAACTTCACGAAATGATACAAGATATAAAAGATAAAAAGCAAAACTTTTCCTTGTGGAATAATTAAGAAAATTAAACTTAAACTATTTTATTTTTACGTATTATGCGTATTTTGTGGCTTTATCATCGTCATTGTTACTACTATTACTGTTACCATCATTTTTACTATTACTTTTGATATTAATATTATTTATTACCGTTAAGATGATTGGTTGAAGGTCTTCTAGCTTCATTACACAACCTCGTTTTCTGTTTAATGCTGTAAAAATTGCGGTATGTCAGTAGTCTTAGACTGCCAATTTTTTTACTTCACCTTTCACGAAAACCTCAACCACCCACCCAATAACTCTAGCATGTTTTAAATGCCTATGTTATATACAGTTCTGACTGAGGAGTTACTGTGAAAGTGATGCGTCTTGCCAAAGGACGCAATACGAAGACCCAAGTAAGAATTGAACACAGACCACCCCACCCTAGTTCGGTGCACTTACCTGCTGGCATGTGTAGACCAGTCATCCCAAGTGGGAAATAAACCCACAGAAAATAATCAAAGAAATATAAAGAAACAAGCTTGTAAAATAAGACAGAATTATAAGAACTTCGGTCTTTTATTTTTTCTTTACATTTTTTTGCTGTTTTTTTCCTTTTAAACTCGATATTTGTAGAATAAGGTGCTATAGAAGATATAAAGCAACATTTTCAGTTTACAGTGATCCATCCATGACACGGGTCGACGAAATGACAAAACAAACGCTCAATTGTAGTTTGAAGAACGATTATTTACAAATGGTTAAAATTACAAGGTGGACTGACTAAGATATCCTTCGAATGCTCGATTCTTTATATTCTTGCGCAAGGAGAGTTTTAAGAGTAAAGACACAGCATCTTACATTAATAAGGCCAAAATATCTCCCAGATATTCTCTAACAACGAAACCCGCTTGGATTCAAGGTAGAAGTGACACCCATTTGGTATTAAAAAAGATACGTTGTGCAGAAAACGTGAGGTCTGAGCATCATGGCGTCGCCCAGGAAAGGATTTGAAATCTTTGCTTTGAAGACTTGGTTTTCAGTTTACGATGTCATTTGGGTTATCAAAACTATAAATTGAAAAGATGCTTTCGGAAACCCTCCATTGATGAAAAGCATGATGAACAGTTGTTTGCGCACTAAAGAGAACATGTAAGTTATCGTGTAAAATTGGAAAATCGCTGCTGCAAGACCCAGTCTTGATACCTTGTACAAGTAACATTTTGTACAGAGACGACTTGCAAGCAACTGTAACGTTCGTTCCTCAGGCTACACAACGCACCATACGATCTGAGCGTGATCATGGTGTTGGTGTCCGCTGACCTTCTTCTCGCGGCTCAGAATTTTCGCTCTTAGTTTCTTTCGCCTCCCGGGTTCTTCTACTCTTCTTCTTGCTCGACACCAGTTCTCCCTCTTCCGGGCCGCCGGAAGTTTCAGACCCTGTCGTTTTACTATGTCTTTTTCTGTGGTAAAAAAGAATTAATTTACCCAAAGGTTGAATATCTACAATTCCTTTCTTTCAGGTGGGATGGAGGACCTTGAGTGCTTTCATTGAAAGAAAACAACAACAACAACAAAAATTAACCCACTACAATGACTTTACTCAACAACTAAAGAGGAATTTACCACGCAATTTTCCCAGGCGTGGGAAAAGTGCGAGTTAACCCTTTCACTCCCAAAATCTCCTCAGTAACTCTCCGTAATGTCTGCTGTAAATTCTCAGTACGATGTTGGTTCAGATCGGTATTAGATCAAATAATATTCCTCGAATTTATATTTTTCTTTATTCTCATCACGCGTCACCTTGATTTTGTATTGAAATTGTAAGGAGACATTCTGTCCTGGTCACTCCCGGGAGCTAAAGGGTGAAGACGGGAATGTACCTCTTCAAGCAAATCAAGGTTTTGTGAACTCTAACGGTGACGTTTATTTGATCAGCAAGGTGAATTTCAACTAAAAAGGACCATAAGAACATCAAATGCCTTTTTAATCGCAGTTGTCTTAGGATCGCGAGAGATTGAGCGACCAAAAGACTTACTTTTCTCGTTGTTCTTTTGACTTTTCTCTGTCTTTATCTTTTCGCGATGAACGTTCCTGCAACAAAATAAAACGTAGCATAAGGTCTACAAGTCCAAAGTAAAGAAAATGTGAATATCTGTACTGCGTAGAACTGTCTCTCCAGGTCTGAAAGTCTGCTTTTCGAAAAGAATACCCGCGTGATTAAGCTATGTTGTAAGTTGACGCTTATGAAAACTTAACTAATTGTCAGAAGTCAATGAAACTGAGCTTCTGACTTTCCACGAGCCTGTTTAGGGTTGTCGCTGTTCCAAAATTAGCGTCTATCTTTAAGTTTGCTGAGCGAGTTTCAAGCCTTTTCTAGGCTTGTCAGCCGGCAGAAGGGTTGTCGTCTGTAAGGAATCAAAAACTACTATAAAATATGAAATATGAAGAAACAGCCTTACCTCACGTCTTTCTCTGTCTCCTTTGTCACGGTCACGGTGTCTTCTTTCTCGATCACGCCTATCTCGGTCACGATCACGATCACGCTCTTTACGTGGAGAACGATCTCGGTCACGATTTCTGAAAAGGTACGAGTGGTCAAGTGAAAAGCATGTCCAGTCAGTGCACGGTCTCGCTTTACCCACAGAACGATTCCCTTAATTCTGGTCTATACGCTCGCGATGAAATCCCACAGGACTCTCTTTTCCTCGCTAGACATAGATATTTATACTTTTTTTAAACCTGCATCACCTTTCTCTGTGTTCACGGCTTCTGTCCCTATCTCTGTCTCGACGTCTATGTGAATCACGATCGCGTTTCCTATCTTCATCACTACTGCCAAACTCGCTATCGTCGTCTCCCGGACTTTCGCTGCCTTGCCTGCCCATGGCACCCGGGAATCCCTCGCGGAATCCAGGGGGAAACCCGCGACCCATGCCAGCGTCCCACGGCATGCCGGGAGGATGTCCCATCATTGGGTGAAAAGCTTGGGTTGGATCTGCAAGGTAACCATGGTTACGATCGCAAACGTATTATTAATCATTTAACGAAGAATCATGCAAACCCAAGAATGGCTACTTTAAAACAGGGTATACAGCAAATGCGCGAGAGTCTGTGTCTCATCTGTCTACGTTGAACTTCGTTGAATAGCTGACGGAAAAAGAAAGACTGTTTCCACAGTTTTCACATTTTATACTGTTTACACATTCGCGAACCTTCTGTTCTTCAGACTATTTCAGCAGATCTAGCGAGACTCTTGGTACATTGACACTCGCTCATTAAATCATTTATTCGTTTGATATTCATATCTGTACCTTATAATTTATCTTATACATGTTACTCCCAGCAGTCTTTCGATTTTCACACGTTTTACTCTTAATTTGTGTTGAGGCCCTACGCGTAATAATATTCTTATCACTGATGATGCCGTGGATCGGCGCAAGCTTGGATTTTTAAAAGATTTTAGCAACAATTGTACAGTAGTTTAAGGCCTCATTTGAAATTTTGTCAGTATTAAACATTTTTCTACCCTATAATTTCTACTGGATAACGTATTGGTATCGTGGGGAAAAGGAACATGTCAATAACTCCGGGGGTGGAGGGGCTGAGGTTCAGACAGCTTGTAGACTTCTTACATCGATCCCAATGTGGTGGGAAGAAGAGGTCAAGAGTTATCAGTGAACCAGCACGATATTTTGCCGCACTCTTTATTAATTTAAATCCGACAAGATGCCAAGAAAAAGGTTATCAACATCGAGTCTACGCAACATAAGCCAACATTTTTTGGCTTGCTGTTAAAATCTAAGACGGCGAAACACTATCAGGTACTCAAATTGCACCACAAGCGATATGCGCATAAGATGTTAACGCTACCAGCTATACTACTGTGATAATGATGCAACAGGAATTGATAAACAACAGATGTGGTGACGATAGTTTTCCATGAAAAACTTGTATTGCAAGAATCTGCACAGTAAAACAGTTCCAATGAGGACGGCTTCGCGGTAGCATCATAACAAAATGGCTCTCTTCAGTGGAAGTTCGATTGAATGATGGTAGAAGGGCAAGCTTATCACAGAAGGAACATTAAGGGAAATAAGGCAAAAATTATGGGAAGGGAAGATATAATCCGTCTAATTCATAATCTGTTTTTTCGTTTCTTCAGTCAAATTAACAAAGAATTGAACTCACTGGTAACTGAGGCTAAGCAATGCATTTTAGGACATTTTGGCGTTAGCAAACTGGTTGAATACTTTACTTCTTTGAGGCGATTACAGCTGCGACTTAAGACTGGTGAGATAATCCAAAGGAAAAACAGAAACGCTTGTAAGGGAGATAGAGGGAAAAAATGGAGGAGATTAAAATTTAAGTCAGGTAAACTTCTTTCAATGTCATCTAAACTTTTCTAAATGTTCAATTCCCCTTTTAAAGCTCGCTGCACGGCCGTGATTTTGCAAATATGAACTTTTGCTTCACAGATTTCCCGTTTAGTGCCAGCACTAATCAAAAATGAACAGATTACTTAAATTTTCGTAACCTTCTCTGACCCCAAAAGGTGCGCTTTCCATTATTTTGCTGTAACGTCGAATGTGGTTCAAGGCGGAAGACAAAGAAAATACACACAACAGTGATAAAATATACGTCACTGTGCGATTGAAAGGAAGTCTGCATAGTTATAAAAGAAGACAGATTTTAAATCGCAGACACATCGATACACCTGATCTATTTTTTATAAGACTGACTCCGTTTGTATTTTTTAAATCAAGGGATGTGAACTACTGCATAGATAATCCATACGTGACTCTTTACATAATTATGCAATTGTTTTTTCTGTTTTAGACTATTTTAAGCCAATGTCTCTCAAACTTGGCCTTCGATAACAAGGTAAGAGCTCTCATCGGTCGACTTTAAAATGTTTGGTCTAAGAAGATTATTACAACAAAAAACACCCGATAATGGTAAAACCAATTTATTTAACACAAGACAAAAAAAAAATGCAATTAAAAAATAAAATGGCCCTTGAGGAAAAAGTTCTTATCAAATATCCTAAGCGGTAAACAACCTCTTAATGAGGAAATGTTATTTTTTTTTAACTGCGCCCGGAATTCATCCACATTCCTACATGCATTACAGCGTGAAGTGTCGAATCTACATTGAACAAACATGCGTCGAGGGGCCATTTGTATACCTCCCAGAAAAACAGAAATTTCCTGCGCGGTTCCAGCTGTCTCCTCTTAAGGGTATAAACACTTCTTTTCGATAAAAAATTTAACTAGTTATCTCTTAAGTTTCTCTTGAACCGCTTTTCCGAAACCTCAATTGGCCCAAGGGACACAATTTTAGCCACAACAGCTGCACTGAGTTCATCGGCACAGAACATGCGCCACGGAGCGTATAAAAACGTTAATAAAAAACATATGAAAAAGCTTGACTAACAAGAAGCAAACTCTTGCGCAATCGGCGTGGGTGTTTGCACTCAGAAATAAACGAAAATATGTCCCACAAACGCACGAAAAACAACACACTCAAACAAATGTTACGACAGAGTGTATCGCCCTGCAATGCAAATTTCAAAGCCTGCTTTTAACAATTATTTTTCTATATCTTTAAGATCTATAAAATGTTTTTTTTTTGTTTTGCACTCGTCTTTTATCTTAGCGACGGTTCACGCACATTCTTAAAATCAGGGCGGTAGTTCAGCAGGAAAATATGCGAGTGGTAAAAATATGCCCGAGTTCATTCAGTAGCAGTGCATTTGGAAAAGCATACCACATGGTAATTTTTGGTTCGCTCAGTTAAATGAAGAAGTGAAAGAGGGAAGTGGGACAGTTGTCGTTCGAATATTGATTTTTCGGGAAGCCATTTTCACGTTTAAATTGTGTTTTGATTTTGTTTTCAGTACATTTTCGCTTCACGATTGATATCGAGTGTTGAGCGCCCAGATTGTTGATGTAGTTTTTAAGGAACTATGGCAACACCAGACGGATTTGTCTGATTAAAGGCAGGCGACACAATCCGGAGAAACTCGAAAAACACTCGCTGTTAGAAATCTTTGTCACACATCTAAGAATTACACCAGATTGTCACTGCTAGGACTTAATAAAGATGTTCTTGAATGTCACACGACCCACATGTAGCGCCTAACATGTGGAGAACAAATGTGACACCCTGCTGCATCCAGTACGCTAATCTACACGGATATTACAACCTGAATAATGTTCTGTGTTTGGAATGCACTGCTCGTGCAGAAAGAGGGCCGACTGCTAAAAGATAAACAACGACCCTACACCCACACAAAGTACAACATCTTTGCAAATAAAAAAGCAGAAACTTCGAAGAGGTGATGAAACCGAACAATGCAGGCCTAATTGCAATTAACGTTGTCATAGGAAAAGGCAAAAACAAAATGAGAAAAAGCCAAATAGGACTTCATTGTATGTATGTTTTTTTTTTTTTAATTAGCATAAAAGAACTATCCTTTTGGCTATATGCCAAGCAGCCGAAATAATTTACGCAGATTTTCTACTGGAAAAATTATTTCAAACTTTTTGAGAGTATCAGACGTTTCAAGCGATTCTAAAAATTATAAAAAAAACCTATATGCTTATGCCGTTTGCTTAATATGTGATATGATAATTGATTCGAGTTTGGCTTTATCCATTCTTCTTTTTAACTTTTTCTACGACAACGTTACTGCAATTAGGTGTATCCATGAAGAAAAAAATGAAAAATGAAAAATCTTTCTCCACAGATCTAATGACATGTTTGCCATTCAAATGGCGCCTGTAGATCTCCAAGCAAACACTAGGGTAACAAATTGAATATTTCGCCCCGAAGAGAGAAAGGCAAACAAAACTCGCTTCTTGTGTTACGGAAAAGTTGAATACAGTGCAATTAAAGGGTCGTGAAAAAATACCATGGAGCAACACCACAACGGAAAAAATAAATCCTTTCTGGGCGTCGCTTTCGATGCTCGCGCGTTGAAGAGACTATTTTTAACGAGAAGAAATATTCGAGGATGCTTACGTGAGGTGAATTAACGACTTCTTTCACGAGGCACGAGTATGAATAAGCGAAGGAAATGATGGTAGATACCACTGAATAATGTATCAATTTGACTTTCTTTCATTGAAGGAGTACAAAAATAAACACAAAAAAGGAATTAAAGAGGGCACACGGATAAGAATAACCAACAGGATAAAAAAAGGAAAATGGAAAGACACTTTGAGACAACTTGCGTATTGTGAAGCAAAATAATGATTTCATATCTTTAAGATGTTATCTATGATCGTCTGCGATGTAAATCCGGTTTATCATATTTACCGGCAAAACAATAAGGCAAAATACCCTGACCCTCATCAATTTATATCTATCTTACGCAAGTGCCAATCAGATTATTCTGGGAGTACTTCTTACGAACACCAAAAATGTTATCTATGATCGTCTCGGACGTGACTCCGGTCTTATCAAATTAACCCGCAAAACAATAAAGTATCGTAAAAAATAATACCAATAATGTAAAAAAAAAAAGTCCTGACTTTTTATCATTTCGTATTTTTTCCGCTAGTGTGTATCAAATTATCCGACAAGTGCATCGTATGAACTCTTAACCCTTTCACTCCCACAAGTGACCAAGACAGAATTTCTCCTTACAATATCAATACAATACCAAGCAGCCAGGTGATGAGAATAGAGAAGAGTATCAATTATGGGATTATTAGTTGATCCAATACAAAATTCTCTGAACTAACATCATAAGAATTGTATGGCAGATAGTAAGGAGAATTACTAATTAGGTCTTGACAGTGAAAGGGTTAAATATAATCCTACAATCATCTGCGCATAAAAATACAGTTATAGATATAGTACGGTAAAGAAAAACCTTGCATGTTGTAAATCGAAATTTTTCGGTAAGTTTTAATAAGATCACTCAAAAAGTACATTTTACGATATGCGCCGTGAATGGGCTTGACTATGTTAAGAACAACGAGTCAAAATGTATGAGATTGGAGTCTCCGACTGGAAATGGAAAAGCAATAAAGGAAGATGTCCATTTATGAGGGGCACTTATTGTTTAAACATCACTATAACATGTCAGAATCAGTCTTACAATACAATGAATACTTAAAACACATTTCCCTAGAAGAGTGCCCATTCCCGAAATTGACGGGAGAAAAGGAGAGTTTTCAATAATCCCTAGAGAAAAGACTGAAAACAGGTGACAAAATGACACTCTTTCGAATAGAGGTAATTAAACCTCTGTTAAATAAAAGAAACTTGTTTTAACGCACAAGTCATCAACAAGTTCGACGTTTTTATGATTAATAAGTAACCTTCAGCATCTATCTATTGCGTCTAAGCTTTCATTGTCTCTTTTGTGCTGTTATTACCAGCTTTTGATGCAAATTTTCAAGGTTTACCGCCCTCAGAGATGCCTTTTTCGTAAATAAATAACTTGCAAATTACTTTAAAACGAGAGTGGCAGACGTATACCAGAAATCACAGGCACTATTTGTCGTTACAATTTTGTTGACAGTACATTGTTTCGTGTTTAGATATCCGCTTCTTCCATCGACGCATTTGCTCACGGTAGGAGATACATTAAAGCGCTTTAAAATCCATTATCAAAATCCAATTTAAAAATGGAACACCCCAAGACATGACTCCTTTCTAAAGGAAATTATGCATTAAACAGCTATAGTAAAACATCACGAAATGCAAGGTAACTTTTCTTCGCGAAAAAAATAAAAAAATTTAAATTGTCTGCTACACGAAAACGTCGGAAGCCGACAAACTACCTCGCTCTTTACCACGCGCACGGGTACGGGCGGAAAAAGATCTAGCGCGGCGGAATGAGGATACTTTTTCTGATAGGGAAAAAAACCTGGAACGTTTCCCCGATGAAGAACAATGCTTTATGTGCCACTTGAAAGCCTTTCGGAACTCCTCGCTGAACAAAGCATAAATGAGAGGATTAGCTGAGCTGTTGCAGACAAAAAACAGGATGCATACTTTGAAAAAAAACAACAAATACTCAAACTTCGAAGTGTCCTGGAAGATGTCTACCACGCGAAAAACATTGTACGGCAACAGTGTAACGAAGAAGACCAGAACAACTGGCGTTAAAATTTTAAGCGCTTTGTAGTTGCGGTCACTTGCGCGGCGGCTTCCCCCCGCTGATGAGGAGGAAGGACGCTGGTGAGACTCTCGACGAATGTGGCTGTGTAAGGCGATGCTCTCGTTCAAACGTCTTCGTATACGAAGATAGGTGAAGAGGATTATACCCAGAGGTAAAATATAAGTTAACAACACTGTCTCCCCTTGGTACAGCTTGTAGAAAGTGACACTCGGAAACTGGGGATGACAGAATGCACGGCTTCCATCTTCCGCGTAGTTCATGACAAAGAATAACGGCACCACGAACAACAAAAAGGACAGGAGCCACATTAACAAAATGACAACCTTGACTGTTTTCATGGTCTCCTTTTGGCTCAAACCGTGCCCGGAAATGATCCCACGGTATCGAAAAACGGCTATGGCAGTGATGCTGGCGATGGAAACACCGTGAAAAACATCACTCAACGGGTAAAGCACCTTGCAGCCAAACTCTCCAAACGGCCAGGTGACATCCTCTGTGCGTACCACGCCAAATGGAAGGCTAAACAGGAGGATACCTAAATCGCTGATAGCCAAGTTTAGAATCAAACAGTAGGCGAGAGAACGATGAAGACGTTCTTTAACCACCACAACACACACCAGACCGTTGCCTAGGACGCCAGCCACGAAAATTACGGCGTCTAAAATAAATCGCACAAGCTGCAAGGAAAACGGTTCGACGTAGAAATGAAATTGCTGTCCTCCTGGGTCGCTTACGTTGCTGCTATTCATGGCTGTAACAAGTTCGGGGAAACCCGACGAATTCATGTCGAGACCGTTTTAGTCTGTGTGCAATCCTATTTCGAAGGAAATAAATACACGATAATGTGGTGTCAGTCCGAAATTCGAAGAGCTTCTTGGACTGTTGAGTTGATCGAAGGTAATTGTTCAAATATGCCCGCGAACTGATGTCTTGAGTATTCAACTTTGCACCAAACGTAGCAAAGCTGGCGCGACCGATGTTGACCGCAAGTCTGATAACGAGATCACAAAATTGAATATTAATCTATCCCAACAGACTCTACGCGCAGGCAAGGAAATCGCAAAACGTGGAGACACTGATTATGGCTGAAACAAAGACCAAATTCGTATCCTGTGGCTTAATTTAACGCTAGCTCCCTCCCCACTGTGCCTCAGTGTTTTTCCCGGTCGCTTTCACGTCTCAATTAACTGATGTAGTGTGTGCTACATGTACTTCAGAAGACGGACGGACGAGCGAAGACTGATCTCCTCTGACGGATGATCCCACGAGAGCCACGGTGACGTGGAGTATGAAGTTACGAACAGAGTCCAAAATAAAATTTGATATAAATAAAACCGATATTTGACACGGAATATCAGTAACAACGCCTTGTGATTTGTTGTTTACAGCAATGACAGGGGTTAGCATTTTGTGTTCTCGCTAGAGTAATCACCGGTTGTGTAAATTTCAATGACAATGTTGTTCTAATGGATAGGATAGCAAGCTGATCGACGATAAACGAATAAGGAGTAATATTCAAATTTTTGGCATTTAGCTCTTGCCGGCAGGCATAATGGGAAGGATCTAATTAGCAGTGACTTTGTAACTCGGTAACTATGAACGCGAAAATCCGAGGTATTTAGCACCAAATTTCGGTCATGTTTTGGGTTGAATATCGCGTTACAAATTGCCAGTGCACGCTTTGACAATAAAAGCACCTTTCCATAGGCTTGGCATTTACATTTATACTATCAAAATTACCTACACACATTAGTATCAAACCGAAAACAACACAGCAAAACAAAACCGAAAAAGTACTGAATTACTTTGGAACAAAAAAGAACAAATGACCCCTGTGGAAAATAGAGGATTATTTGCAACGGAGTCTCCTATGAGGTTGAGATTACAATAAGGTAGATAGCAATTATCTTTTGCAGATTGGCTGCACTCCAAATAACACAGTGGTTTCAAGAAAATAGGCAAAATCGAAGCCTCCAGGTTAAGTAAACTTTCAGATTCCGGATAAATAATTTGCCTCGGGTCATAACACCTGTAATTTAAGCTATGCACACTTAAAAAAATATTTTCCAATAAGAACCACTCCACCGTGGAAAATAGGCGAACAGGAAAAAAAAACATTCACAAACAAGAAATTTGCTTATAAAAGCTTTAGGTCGACACTTGATCAGAATGAAAAAATTCCTTTCCGGACAAAACGCGCTTGCAATAAAATCTTTGCAGAAAGGAAGTAAGGAAGCCAATGTAAAAGTCAGAGTCATTTATTTTACAAATGTCTTAACTCACCCCAAAAGCCATCAATAAATGTGTCTAAGAATTCTTTACGCCACGAAAATATCAAACAACTGCTGCTGTCTTTCCTACCTAGGCGTGCGAAAAAGGTTAAATAATGAACCTCTTCACTTTTCAAAAACCTGCAGGTTATCGTGATAGAGAACTGAGCCAACCTTACCGACATTCGAGTAGGAGGTGAAATATTTAGTCCACGAATCCAATGAAATTCTCGAGTGCACTCAACGATAATCTTTGAGATACGATCTGTCATATAAGGCGGTCACATATTCCCCATAGATAATCTCCAAAACTGACAGGATCAATGTATTATTTTTACTACAGCACCGACACGGGGTAAAATATTTGGCATTGATAACAAAATTATTGTTCATTTGCATTCGGTTTCTTTACAAAAAAGATAATCCTAAAAAAGACTCTAAACCTGTCGGTAAAAAGGAAATGACAAAAGGGCTAGGCTAATACAACGATGTCCAATGTGGGACGAAATAAATTCAATCTAACGTCACTTTCTTTGGCGTACTCAAGAGATTCATTTGGGGAATTGTTCGTGTAAATGCAAATTAGTGCTTGGTCGACATTTTGCCGAAGACGACATATTTTCGGATTAAGGACACTGTCATTTACAAGATACAAAATGTTTTCTCGTCGAGTGAAATAGTATTATATACATTTCCCATAAGTTGTCGCTACGGCAATCTGTTACAACATCACTGAGGATTTGTGAAAGGTCCTCAGCGATGTTGTAAGAGAACCGAAATAAAAACGACACAATATATTTACAAACATTCAATTACACGAGGAAAACTTAATTTCATAAGGATTTTGTTCATTTCGCGTCTTTTTCTTATTGCTATCAGGAGCTTCTCTCAACAAATTATTTCAGCAATGACAAAACGGGGGAGGAAATTAAAACAGTTATTGAAATAGAGAAAAGTTGTTTTGAAAACATGAAAAAAACATTGATTAAATAGCATTTCAAACGAAATTAAGGTCCCGGAAATTATTGCCCACTAAACATCATCACACTGCATGAGTTATTTTTTCTTTTTTTCGGGATAAAAATTCTAGACTATGGCAAAATTGACCACGATCATCAGGAATTAAACTTTACCTTACATCGTACACAAGAAGAAACGGGGAAAACCAAAGAAAAACTTTTCAGGAAGCAGTCAAACAAAAGTTAATTTATCCTGCCAGCGCGAAAACGGGTCAAACGGTAGGAAACAGCTGAAGCTGCTACCGTCGGTTTCCGCCAAAACATAGTCTGGGTTGGACATTGAGTAAATCCTCTGACTGAAGACTGACGTTATAAAGAAAGATATTTATTTGACATCGCTTTTGTATTCTTCCCATGTATTAGCCAAAAAAGGAAAGGAATAAAAAGAGTACAATAAATAGAGCCAATCGTATATTAGTCTCTTAAGAAAATCAACGTAAATCGGATTAAATACAAAATAGGTTTCATTTGTCACGGGACAATGTCTGGAAATAAATTTAAATAACAAACGAAACGGCACTTCTGTTTTGATATTTTTGCAAAAGAGGAACTTCCGAAAATTTGAAGAATAACAAAAGCTTTCTATAAATTTCTGCCGCCTATATTTAGCAAAATAGCACGAATGAAATGGGGGGATTGTATTGTTTCCATTTGTTTCGCTTATCAATAAACGGTATCGCAAAGTAACGTTTTGGAAAAGCAAGAAAGATGTTGAATAATAATGATAATACTAAAGAACGACGAGTTTCTTTAGTGTTTCGAGTTTCTTTCCCTTTCTTTCTCTTTTATAAAACTGTTTAGAGAAAACCAACCTTTGTAAGCTACTGACGAGGGTTTTCGACACAGTTTCCCGCTTGCATCATAGAACGAGCGATGGCGTAGAGTGCAGTGATCCAGTTAACACCGTAAAAATAGAGCTTTCGAAAATCAAATGGAAGGAGCAGTAAAGAGACAAATCATTCCGGAGATCAAGTGCATCGATTTTAATTTTTTAAAACTAAGTTTTATTTTGCAGCAAGACGTAAGCGTAACATTTCAAGGAAATGCAGTTTTTTAATCTAAATCCACATACGATCTGAAAATTAATTCTCCAATCCAGCTGCTTTGTTTTTCCTTGAAAATCAGTTCAGAGAATTTGGTGTTTCATCAATAAAACTTCGGGCAGATACCTTTTCCTGACCTCGCTACATGTTTACTGAAAAATCTTGCATGCTAAAAACTTATTAAAAGTTTTTGATCCATTCAATTCTAAATTTACTCAACTTAGATACATGGAAGAGAAGGTTTGTTTTTTTTAATTTGTGGTTGAAGTTTTGTCTTGAATTTCCTGCAAAAACCTTTAGATTGTATACAAGATGATGGGAATTTATTACTTCATCGCCTGAAAGACATTTCCTCAAAGAAAGAAAAAAAATTTGATCCTTAGAGACATCGACCCAAGAAAAAATCATCATCAAAAAGTGTAAAGACTAACATGACTCACTTTTTCAAAATGAACGATTTGTGAGGAAAAAAAAATCACAATTAGAGTTACTGATCGCAGTAGTTTTGCATTGCTGTATTTTACATACATCTGTTCTGATCGATTTTTGATTCACTGAAAAGACCATTTCTTATGAAATTAGAGAAAATTCACGTCGGTGGTATTGAAAAAACCCACAAACCATCTAGAAATTTCCGTTCAAAAGTACTTTCCAGACAAGTTCCTGTTTCAATGTTTACACGAATGTTTACTGACAATTTGAACGAGATAAGAAGCAAAAACAGGAAAACAGCAAATTTAACCTAAAAAAAGAGCATAGGTTTGTAAAAAATAGAAAAAAGAAGCCCACGTCCTTTGGTGAAAAGATTTATTTGGTGACACAACTTAAACTGAGACACAAGAAGAGAATTTCATTACGTGCAATAAACTGATTGATGATGCCTTTGGCGCCAAAGCCCTGCTTATCGCGGTGCAGGTAATTGATTGAGCTCTCTAGGACGAAGTCATTGGGATCAGTGTCACAGATAAAGAAGTTCAACTGCATCGCAAGATTAAGCTGCAGCAAAACAGGTGAAAAACAAATTCTCTTTTCACTTTGCTGTTTAAAGCTTTTTTCAGCGAATTGTTTCAGCTATTTGGCGACTGGGAAGGATATGAAAATGAACAAAACATTTTCTTCAGCTTTCAAAGTAAAGAATAGTTTTAAAAAACATCTACAAGGCATTAATTGAAAGTCACTTCGATTGAGATTGAAGACCCGGAAATTATCGCGTTATAAACATTCTTTAATTGAGCGTGTTGCCCTTCAGACGATAATAGTATGGAGGAAATAATCGAGCATTTTAAGAAAACGTAATTAAGATCAATACAAGAGATAAGTTGTTCAACTCCCTCGCAAGATTAAACAAATTGATTGAAGTACAGGGAGACAGATCTTTGTAGATGAAAAACTCCTGGAAAATTATTAAATTTATCACAGTAAACCAACCAACAGCAAAATTTTAAGCTTGAATTGTTTAAATATTGTTTCAAAATCAAGAGGAGAAAATTTTGTGTGCAGAAAAAAAAAAAAAAAAGGATATGAAACGTTTGAACCACAGATATGAAAGCGACTTATTTAATATCTGCACAAAATCAGAGTCATAACACAAATGCTGTAAATTTGCAGCTAAAACTAAAAGAAAAAAAAAACTTCATTGAGGATTGGCTTTTTGGAAGTGCTTTCACAAACAAGGTTTTC